CTTTTTTTTTTTCTTTTAATATTTAACTTCAGCTAACAACCTAAGTTAGTTAGTTTGTTATAAATAATTTAAGGTTTAATGTCCAATGTGGATAAGATATGGGCGACATGTGGTAACGATAAATAAATAATTAAATAAGAAAAATGGAATAATTGAAAAGGTTACCGGACAAAACTGTGAGAGCACTGGGGTGTAACCCGGAAATAAAGCAAAGTGCAGGGGCCTAAATTCAAAAAACAAAATACATTTAATCCGAAAGTAAAAAAAAATATATATAAAAGTTGTAAGATATAATAATGGAAAATTGGGGAGGTGAAATTAATTAATGGAGTACAAAGTGAGTCACGTGATGGCATGATATGATTTTGGATGCTGTCCTAATACACAAAATAATTGGCATCGCATGAAACATTTCGGACACAATCATAAATAAAAACATTAATGTCCCTAACTTAAAATCCAGCGGGAAAAAGAATTCAAATCCTTCACTTTACCTTATGCTTAGATCTTGGTCACGTGTCCATAATTTAGATTTCAAATAAATGAGCTTAACCAACTATATAATTAATTATTAATTTATTTGAAATTATTTTGCAGATGGGATCATATATTTTGAACTTAGATATGATGTTCTTAAATTAATTAAGTTGACTTAATAGTGTAATGATGATAATCAAAATTTGATTTTGAATATGAGAAAACATTAAATGGTTAAAAAGATAAGGTACCTATCTCACAGGTTTGACTTCAACTTCCCCCGTCTGAAATCAAATATCCTGTATTTAAAGTTTGTCACACAATTAAATGTCATTAATGAGCAAATTTATAAAATTATGAGCCACTTTTGAATTTAAATCTAGACTGCCATTATTTATTATATTACTATTTTCATTCAGAAGGTTGATGAAGTTTGGTTAAGGGGTTGTGAGTGTGAGATGTCCACGTCCGTCCGAGAGAGGAACGAAACATTTCTTATAAAGGTGTAAATACCTCTCTTAGTAGATGCATTTTTAAAACTGTGTGGCTAATAATGATACGTAACAGGCCAAAACAGACAATATTTTATTAACGGTAGGTTTGAACTATTATAAATGGTATCAGAGCTAGACACGAGACGGTGTGCCAACAAGGATGTTGGTCCCAAAAGGGGTAGATCGTAAGATTTCACATCGGTTGGAGAGGGGAAACTAGCGAGGATAATGATACCCAATAGAAGTTGATTGAAGAGGGAATGAAGCATTTCTTATAAGGGTTTGGAAATCTCTCTTTAGCCGATGCGTTTTAGAATACAAGGCTGACAACGATATATAATGAGCCAAAGTAAACGCTATCTAATTTGGGTAGTTTGGGCAGTTAGACTATGGGTTTAATGCAGTATTGAGTGCAGTTGGGATTGGGGAGGACCCATAAGATGTAATTTGTATGAAATAAATGATGGGCCAGCAATAATTTAGACTGCAACTCTATCAAACACTAAGGGTTCTTACAAAGTATAGAAAAATAAAGCATGAATGAAGGGTGCCTTTTTCCAGATTCAAATTAATGAATTCAATGCCTTTCTACTATTTTTCACCAACCAGTCTCCATAAATGCCTGCTCGTAAGTCCAAACATATTTCATCTCTGCTAGATGTGAAATTGAGTAACAGGTAAGAACACTTAAATATCTGATACAATTATTATTGACTGGACAGAAATCAATTTTACTTTCATAACTTGACCCTCGTTGCTTTCTCCTCCCGTGTTAACCCAAAAGGCATACATTCTACATCGTATCTCAACAGGGGTTATGTGAATGGCTAACCAGAAGGAGTACCCACTATCCTTGTAATACAAGACCTACATGAGCAACACAAGTTGATACTCCACTTCAATTCAAACCTTCTTTGCTTGTTCTTCCTTCAACCTGCCTGCACGTATTCACTCTCTTGTCATTTCTATTTTCTTCCTCAAACCTTCACGTGCTACAGATACTACAACCATGCTTCTTGGTGAATCAAAATCATTTCATGAAAATCAACAATCAAAGTAAAACAACTAAGCTAAGTGTAAGCTCAACCTGCTTTTTTTCCTTTTTGGCCCTGATGTGAGTATCATCTCCATTGTAAGATTTGGCAACTCTCGTTCAACATCCTGAATTTTTAGATAAGTTTTCTTCAATATATCTGGACAAAGTAACAAATCCGTTCATGACGAACCTGTTGAAGGGTCACTAGAAGATACATGTATGAATAGATACATGTGTCAAAGGGTCACTTGTACATGTATAGATACATGTATAAGTACATGTATGAATAGATTCATTAGTTCCTAATTAAATAAGTGCATGATTTTTGATAATGAATGGTAATGGGGAATGTCCCAAATTGCCTATATATGCTATATATATATGTATGTTGGCATTGGTGGAAGGTATAGAAAATCAATCAAGTATTCCTTCATTCTCTTCTCTCAAAAAATTCTACCAAATTTCTCTGTTGTCACCAATAGAACCTGTTAGAAACTACGATTCTCCAGAATGGTATGATATTGTTTACTTTGAGTATAAGCTCTCATGTCTTTGTTTTTTGTTTCTCCACAAGGCCTCATACCAATGAAGATAGCGTTCCTTACTTATAAACCCATGATCATTCCCTTAATTAGCCAATATGAGACTCCTCCCAATAACCTCTCATCCCCTTAATTAGTCAATGTAGGACTCCTCCCAACATTACTCAACAAAACCTTTCTTGTCCAGGGGAACAGGTAAGAAGAGAAAATAAATAATAATAAAAGAAAAAGAAAACTTGATGCAGAGTTTTCAACTTCATTTCACTAATTTCATACTTGTGGAGTTTTCTTTTTAGATGAAAAATCTCGTGCATGGAGTTGTAACAGGCCCAACTGTGGTTTCTGAGGTGGAATCATTCTTAAAGATGAGACTGATCCTATTAAGTTAATTAAACTTCAGTGATTTACCCCACAAGATTTCAGCACAAAATCAGAGCTTCTCCAGAGAGACAATTCGAGCTTCTATATCAATGAAAGGTCCACAGAGTATACAAGAATAAACCGTGTTGGGAATTGTTGCCGCTTACGCTAGAACAATTGGGTATCAAAACATTTTGGTTGTGGTATTTTTGGTACAACAAGTGGTATCAGAGAATTGAAGGTTGTAACATCGGCGCACATCAAGTGGTATTAGAGCATCGAAGGTTGTGTCATTTTCGGCACAACAAACTGGAGCCAAACCAAAGAGGTATTCCAAATCTTATGGCTTATTATATTTTCTTCCTTTTGAGTTCAACAATAGCAGTGGTGGAGGGGAGATCAAACCATGAACCTTTGAGATAGTAATTGGATCTTTTATGTATGGAGTTATATTCAAATCGACGGGTGAATGGTCAAATTATGATATTAAGCTTCTGATATCTCAAATTTTGCCTCACCACTATTCTTCACATTTCTACATCAACTTCAAGCGTAAGAATGGTATGAAAAATCCTCTCCAAACATCAAAATTTGATCTCAAATACAAATTATAGGATCTAAACATAATTAACTCTGAAACTAAACATAGCACAAATTGAAGGCTTAAACTTGTAATACTCTTAAGAAAAATACAAATAACAAAGCCAGGACGGACTTAAATTTCAGTCAACAAGAACGATAGAATAAAAAGTAATAGTAATTCTAGCTTTATTAATTGTAAGAACGAAACATATGAAGTAATGAACGAGAATCGTACCCTTTTCAATTCAAGCCTCCCTTCCTCGATTATCAGTGTACGCAATTACAGGGGCTTCCTTGGTAAGGCCATCAGGGCCAAAACAATTTCTTGTGGGAATCAGAATCAGAAACGAGAACGGCTAAAAGGGATTCTGGATTTGACCCAAACGAAAAAACCCAGTTCATTAAAGATTCTATTCACTGCAAAAAAAAAAAAAAAAAAAAAAAAAAAAAAAAAAAAAAAAAAAAAAA